CTGTTGTGACCATGTGGTGGGTAGATGGTGCTTAGGCACAGGCAAGGAAGGAATACCAGTTAGGACACCACTGTATACTCAGAGGAGAGAAGCTGGTCGCCCAGGCTATGTTGGAAATGCTGAAAAAATGGTGGATTTGTACATAACCCTTGAACATGAGGCCAAGAGGATTTGTTACTGGGTTGGATATAGAGTGAGAGAAAGAGGAGTGGAGCATGAATTCCAGTGATTTGTCTCCGGTACCTGACGACTTAGAGCACCATTTACTGAGAGAGAAAATGTGGAGGAGAGATTAGAGAGGAGAGTCAGCACAATTGGACGCAAGAAGCCTGGGGTAACCGCTAGACTCTGGGAGACACATGCACACAACTTCTCTGTAAAAGACCGTCCCGTAAATAGTTTAGGCTCTGCGGGCCACACATGGTCTCAGCTGCTGCTGCTCTTCCTCCTCTCACATCTTCCTCTTCTTTCTCTTCCTCCTCACTGCTCTCTGCTGCCTTTTCTGTATATTTCCCTCTAAACACTTAAAAACATCCTTCGTTCTAGGCCCACGACCTTGCAGTCAGAACTTGCTGACCCCTTTTCTAGAGAGTGGTTGTTTGTAAATGAGAGAGGTAGTCATGGGGCAGTACTGCTTTTACAAGGTGTGTAAATCCACTAAATCTTGCCATCAGAGGAGATTGAGGGGAACAGTCTGAGTCACTTGAAAATTAGAGAGCCTGGTTTCCCAGGGGTCAAATAAGGAACATTCAGCCACCCATTACTACCTTAAATGGCAACCATGGGTTCCGTGTCCTGCACCTGTTATCCCCTGTTACTAGTCTTTTCAAATTCCTAATGTTATTTTCTTTTCCATCTTCTTCATCTCTTCATTTTCTCACTTGTCACTGATACCTAACTTGATCTTCCTAGTTGTTGTTTTTTTCTACCTAAAGCATCCAGTTTATCTTTCACTAGCCTGACAAAGTTGATCCTTATTAATAAATGAAATCAAAGTCTCCTTTCAGTGACTGTCACAGTCTAGCCCAGTTTTACATATCTGTGTCTTTTTTACTGCTTTTCAGAGCTCTTTTTAAACTTCATGCTGTCTTATGTCTTAAATTTCTCTTTTAAATATTTTCTCTTTTTTCTATAATTTTCACTTTGCCTTTTAAGTAACTGAATTAAAATTGGGTATGCAAAGTGTTTAAACATTGCATGTCTATAATGCTTGTTATTATTATTTCACTTATTTTAAGTTAGTGATCAATTTTTTGCTATAACTTAAATAGTCTATATTTTATAACCCTAACCCACTAGCATCTGTAGCTCCAAAACTCACACCTGATGATATGACTGTTGCTTAGGGTTTCTATCATTGCTGAGATTTTGTTTTCCCAAAGAGAGGCTTAAGATAATTATTAGAATCTGGGATGGAATAGGAGGTTTCATATGTATATTACTCCAGTATTCTTGGGCTTCGCTTATGGCTCACCTGGTAAAGAATCTATGTGACTGCAATGTGGGAGACCTGGATTCGATCCCTGAGTTGGGAAGATCCCCTGGAGAAGGAAACAGCTACCCACTCCAGTATTCTGGCCTGGAGATTTCCATGGACTGTATAGCCCATGAGGTCACAAAGAGTCGGACACAACTGAGCGACTTTCACTTTCAGTATATATAGATACACACACAAACACACACACATATATACATATATATACATACACACCATATATAGTATAAAGTACATAGTTGAGGCCAGAACTAGAAGTATCCATACTTTCCTTTCATACTTTTCCTGATTCTGATATTTTAATAATTACTTTGTTGAACCAAGTTTAGAAGAGATCACTCTTTTTCATCCATTCAGAAAGCATTCTATAGTATTTTTACTAAATGCACATTCCCTTATTTTATCCTCAAGTACAGATTGAAAATAATTCATATGCACATCAGTTTTTAAGAATCACAAATGTCCTATCTCCTTAGTGAAGTCAGAGGAAATAGAATTTTGCTAACACCTGCCTAGACTGTAGTCATGACACAGGGTGTATCATTGAGCAGTGGACTTGTTTTATCTTATCTTACAGTGAATTAAACAGGTAGTAACTTCTAAAGGCAGCAGGTAGAGACTGAAAATGATGGGAGTTTGTTGTAGAGTTTGTTGGCTTTGTTATTTTATTATTACTTTTGTGGTTTGTTGTTTTAAATTAAAGTAGCATTTCCTAGAGGATGTTCAGGTCCCAAGGAGAGCCAAGGCTGGAGTGTAAATAATTACATAAAAGGTGTGTTGTTAGGAATGAGCAATTTGTTAAATATCCAGCTAGAACCACACAAATATTTTTTAATGGATTTACAGAATTGTGACTTGAACTCATAATATGAATTCAGTTTTTGTTTTAATTTGTGTTTGTCAAGATAATAACTATTATCAGTTAGTCTTTGGAGCCATGGGCTCAGGACTGTTTTAGATTTTTTTTAACATATGATTAACATTGTTTCACCTAGTTAGTTACTCAGTCATGTCTGACTCTTTGTGACCCCATGGACTGTAGCCCACCAGGCTCCTCTGTCCATGGAATTCTCCAGGCAAGAATACTGGAGTGGGTAGCCATTCCCTTCTTCAAGGGATCTTCCTGACTCAGCAGTTGAACCCGGGCCTCCTCCTTTTCAGGCAGATTCTTTACCGTCTGAGCCACCTGGAAAGCCCGTTTCGTGGAGTATCAGCAGTAAAGAATAGCCAAGAATTTTTACAATAAAGTTTGTTGAAGGCCTCAGAATCATATATTAATAGAAAAATATGATCTTATAGGTCTCATCTGTAAGTAAAAGCCACAGATGAGTCTAGATATGAAAGCAGAAAACCTTGATGAAACAATAAACCTAGATATGAAAGCAGACTTAAAGATCAGTATTGTTCAGGAAGAAAATTGTTTTGGGGGAAAGTAAGGCAGCAGATTGAAGTAAAGGAACATATGTCTTGATGGTTGGGACAACTTCATTAACAGCTGTGAGCAAACAGAATGAGCCTGGTCCTTTTGCAGAGATGGTCTGTCCATCTTCTGTTTTGTATTTCCTGTTGGACATCTGTTGTTGCAAATTACAGCTTGATAGTTAGAATCTGGATTAAAGCATTGTCCCTTAGAGCATGAGGAAGTAGGTACCTTCAGAAATTTGTTTTGATGTTCATATGTCAAATGGGAAAAAGGAATAGCAACATGCACATTAGTGAGGATCCTACCACAGTAATCAAGCTGTGGGAAGGTAAGGACAAGAAAGCATGATCTGCCTCTGTCAAACTGAGTTCTTCCTCTAATATGTTTCTTAAACAGTCTATTTTTCTTTAAAAACAAATGAACAAAACAAAAGACCTCTCTTGTTAAACTCGTCCAGTTCTTGGAGTTCCCTGTTCCATAAATGAATAACTCATAAAATCCCCATCCCTTGCTTACCATGTCTTGTTATAATTATTCCATGTGAATTAAAGGAATCCTGGGCTATCAGACTATTCTTCTGAACCTGAGGCAGTTGGTGTTTTCAGAACTTTAGTCTGGTGTTGATGTGTAGAGTAGAAGCGAGTACCCTAGTAGGAATCACACCAGGTAATCAGTGTCTGAGGGGGTTAGGAGTAGACTGCTTTGTTTCCACCAAACACAGTTCATCTTCTGAAAGCCCTTGTCTACTAATCTTCAGTGTAATGATATTCATTGTTCAATGTCTCTGTTGGGCTCACTCCATTCTCTTGAGTTTCCTGATTTCTGAATCAGCCACTCTCTAGTTCCCTGTGTTTTGAATGTATTTCACCTTTTTCTGTCTAGTTTTAAAGTTTGTATTAATAAAGAATTAAATGTTATTGCCAGTTTCCTTTCCCTATTTTTACTAAAACATGTTTTTATATTCCACTCAAACCAGAAGAGTAAAGAAAATATATGTTGGATTTTAGTTCACACCAGAAAACTGAGCCTAAAGCAAAAGAACTGACTGTGTAATAGGGCGTTTGTGTAAAAGTTGAATTCCATTAGAAATGTACTAGGATTCATAAGATGTGGTTATTTTTCTCATTTCTAGAAGACTGGAAAGTTGATGACCTAATAGAGAGCACCCAGGAAAATCAAGATGAACATTTTTGGCAACTTGCTTTCACCAGCAACAAAATATTAAGTACAGATAGTGGTGACAGAGTAAGGAAAACTTTAAATCTAGGTACAGACTCCATTCCTTCAAGCAATTTTCTATATAAAATATGTGACTCATGTGAATTGAGTTTGAAAAATATTTCAGGCTTAATTATTAACAGAAAGAACTATTCTAGAAAGAAGCCTGATGAGTTTAATATATATGAGAAATTGCTCCTTGATATTGGGCATGACAAAACTCCTCCTGGAGGGAAATCTTATAAATATAATCAACAAAAGAATGTCCTCAATCATGGACAGGATCTCACTCAGTCCATTTTTGACCAGCCTTTTGAGTATAATGAAAATGGAAGAGGCGACCACGGAGAGGCAGCCTTTTTCACAAATAAGAAAGTTCAGATAGGAGAGACACATTGTAAATATAATGAATGTGGAAGAACATTCATCCAAAGTTTGAAGCTCAGTTTATCTCAGAGAACTCATTTTGAAATGGAACCATGTGAATGCAGCATTTGTGGTAAGTCCTTCTATATGGATTTAAGATTGGGACATCAGAGAGCTCTTACGGGAGACAATCCTTATGAATATAATGAATATGGGCAAATTTTCTGTGACAATTCAACTTTCGTTATCCATCAGGGAACTTACACAAGAAAGATTCCCCATGAATATAAAGTCAGTCACAAAACATGGGAAAAGTCAGCTCTCTTTAAACATCAGATGGTAAACATGGGAGAAAAACCTTATGAGCACAATGAAAACGGAAATACTTCAAACAAGAAGTCACATCTCACCCAACTTCGAAGAGCTCACTCAGGAGAAAAAACCTTTGAGTGTGGTGAATGTGGGAAAACATTCTGGGAGAAGTCAAACCTCACTCAGCATCAGAGAACACACACAGGAGAGAAACCCTATGAATGTACTGAATGTGGGAAATCCTTTTGTCAGAAACCACATCTTACCAACCATCAGCGAACACATACAGGAGAAAAACCCTATGAGTGTAAGCAGTGTGGGAAAACATTCTGTGTGAAGTCAAACCTCACCGAACATCAGAGAACACACACAGGGGAGAAACCCTATGAATGTAATGCATGTGGAAAATCCTTCTGCCACAGGTCAGCCCTAACTGTTCATCAGAGAACACACACAGGAGAGAAACCCTTTATGTGTAATGAATGTGGAAAATCCTTCTGTGTGAAATCAAACCTCATTGTACATCAAAGAACTCACACAGGAGAGAAACCATACAAATGTAATGAATGTGGGAAAACGTTCTGTGAGAAATCAGCTCTCACTAAACATCAGAGGACTCACACAGGGGAGAAACCCTATGAGTGTAATGGATGTGGGAAAACCTTTAGTCAGAGGTCAGTACTCACTAAACATCAGAGAATTCACACAAGGGTGAAAGCTCTTTCAGCATCCTGAACATTCAGAAGGCTTCATCCACTCTTTCAAATTTGTTATACAGATTTTTAAAATGAGATGAATGGAACCCAAAGAATATCACAAATTCCTTTAGAGATTTTGTTGTAGTTCAGATAATTATTACTAGAATAAAACCTTATTCATGCTTTGAATATGTAAAAGCTTTCCAAAAAAAGTAAAACTTTTCATCAGAAAATTTATATTGAAGGGAAATTCATTGACATAATATGGTGAAAAAAAAAACCTCTGTCTAGAATTTATGTTGTGTAGTGCCATATTCTGGATGTGATACAAAAATTTTATTGTTGTTAATATAACGGGTGATATTTGCAGTCATATTCACATTGGAATCTGAAGTGTAAAGAAGTTAAATGACAAGAGCATTAAACATTTATGTGAAGAGTCCTTGATGTTTGGAGGCCTTTTGTGGGTATGCTAATATCATAGAAATTTGAGGTATTCTTGGTTTGTATATTAGAGCCTAACATGCTTATGAAGAGAAAATCTAAACCCTTCATTAACTGTTATAGTCTATATTAACATTTCCCCCACTAGATACCATCAGTGTCTTAAGGTTGTAATAGTTATGTATATATGTATATGTAAATGTATTTATACATGCTTACCAATACACAGTGATGTGCTACAGTAAGTTTATACTAACTTGCAAGCACTGCTGATAAATTTTCAGGAATTTTATGAGCCAGTCGTTAAACACAGTCATTATTTTAAAATTAAAATACTAATTTACAGTTAAATAATATTAAAAAAACAAAGGTAATACATACTCAACACTCATCATTTCCTAAATATTTCACAGTGTTTTGCTATTATCTTTGTTCTTAGGTTATCTGTATTGTTAAATCAGCATGGTGAATACTATATAATGATGTAGTACTATACATCTGTGACCAGCCCTACATTCAGTGCCATTGTGTTGGTAGTGTGGCATTAGTGGGAGTATTTACACCATGATAATTGACAAACTCTACAAATCAGGATTTTTGTTTTCTCGGAGGATCTGTTGTCAAATATTTACAGTGGTACATCACTGTGTATATATGAAAATACGTTTGGCAAGTTTAAAATACTAGCCACATACCCCTTCTCCCATTTCCATAGATAAATGGCTGTGTCCATTACTGCTGAATGGCCTCTTCAAAAAAGAAGCCAAAATATACTTTTTGTGAAGTTTTTAACTACCTATGCATCAATGCTATTTTCAGTACTATCAGAGACTCTCTGTAATGTGGCCAGTATATGCTCTTTTACTACCTATTGCTTACTTTTCTTCTGACTTTGCTGGCATATGCGAATGAGTATGGCCATTATTATTGAGCTTCCACTTCCATAAAAAGGCCAAACAATATTTTTTCCTGAGGTTATTCAGCTGCCTTGGGTCAGTCAATAATGTGAATGCTATTAATAACAATGATAATTACATAAATTTTGCAAAGGTTAACATCAGTTATGAACAGTAATGCTCACAGTATTCAGCAAATAAAAAGTAGTGTTGTATAACGAAATGCTTCTGTCCTATTCTTGGTGCTTTATTGCTGTATCTATTTGGGCGTGATGTGTGTAACCCAAGGTGTATGTAACTCAGGAATTATGTATTTGTATTTAATTTAATAGAATGTAATATACTGTCTCTCTCCTTTGTCCCACTGTTTTCTTTGCTTCTTTGGAAAACACTGATAAGCATTTCCAAGAAACACTGCCCACCAAATAGCCATTCCCCGCTTCCTCCTTGTTGGGCCACGTTTTGTCTTTTTGTCCATCCTTTCCCCAGATGATTTAGGGGTAAATCCACACTGGTCTAAGTTAATCATGAGTCTTCTGTCCTCGTGATTTTGTTGGGATGGACAGGTGAATAGTGAGATATTGGAAAGCATTCTTGGTGCTTTGGGGAAAGAGCTCGGCGATAAAGCATTGTCCTGACACGAGAAGAGATCACCTCTCTTCTGCTGGACTCTTCATGGCTGTGTGTTATACTAGATTACAGCTGTGGCCTGGATGGGCAATAGCCTGCAGAGACCAGCACACAAGATGGGAAAACCTGACTCAGAGGCACAGTCGCTGAGCTGCACAACTGTTTCTGGGCCTGCTGTCTACTAGGAGTGTGTATTACTGGGGCAAAAGAGGCTTCTTGTTTATTCTTGGAGATGTCTGTTATTTAGCACTGAAGGCATTCACCTGATTCAGATGAATTCTTTTCTGATAGAAGTGTTAATGTTCTATACAGCAGTTTTAGAGATGAATTATTTCCTTTGACAAATTAGTATAGGGAGGGCTGTTTGTATCAGCCATGTATCTAGTGAAAAACAGAATTCTGATCCAACTAAGAAGACTTTCATGGCAGACTTACTACAGTGGTTTGGCCAGAGACAAGGGATACTGAAGCACCGAGAGATCAGTGTCCTCGGGAGGCCATTACCATTCTAAGTCCGGAAGGGCAAAGGATGAAAGCAGGTGTTAACCAGAGCCCAGTGAGACCTGCTGCCCTTGTGGAGGAGGGGCCGTCTCAGGAGATATTGTCATCTCCAAAATTATGGACCACATTCCTGGAACCCAATCAGATGCCATCTGCAGGTGAGCCCACATGGGCACAGAGAAAGTAGAGGGGAAGGTCTGGGTGGAGCTATTGTTGAATAACCAGCACAGTGTTTTTTACTCCTATAAATTCCTATATAATGGCTTGGTATTAGAAATAAAATTATTCTTCTAGTTGAAAGTTAAGTATTTCTGCTTCATTGTGCTTTTATGTTGTCATAAGTAAATTCCTTTTGGAACTGAGCTCTGTGGCAGGTAGGTCTCTTGTTTGATATATGTGAAGCAGACATGTTAACTGGATTATTCATATAACCTCACATGATGTTTCTTGTCCTATGTGGTGTGAGGTTAGCAGCTCTGTGTTCTTCCAAATAAATAGCAAGTCCTCTCTGCACTGTTTGATTAATTCATTCTTTTTCTTGTTGGCTTGATATGACCACTGGGGTAACTGGTTACCTCTATAGGTAGCATAATAAGAGTAGATGTTTAACTCACATATTATAATAAGTACATTTTATGGGATTTTTAATTTAAATATATTTTGACAGTATTTCTGACTGGTAAAATTCAAATGCCCATAAAATAAGACTCTGGTATCTCTATATGTAGATAGATAAGGTTAAGAAAGTGAAAGTATTAGTTGCTCAGTGTGTCTGACTCTTTGTGACCCTATGGACTGTAGCCCACCAGGCTCCTCTGTCCATGGAATTCTCCAGGCAAGAATATTAGCGTGGGTAGCCATTCCCTTCTCCAGGGAATCTTCCTGACCCAGAGATTGAACCCAAGTCTCCTGCATTGCAGGCAGATTCTTAACTGTCTGCTCCCTAGGGGAGCCCATATATGTGTTAATTACATGGCAAAAGGCCCAGGATATATGCTGCCCATACTGTGAAAAGAGGGCATACATACTCTTTGGAGTGTAACAGAAGAGTGTTCTTCAATCTCTACATGCAACATACCTGTTGCAGCATACCTGTTGCAGCATACCTGTTGCATGTAGAGATTGAAGAACACTCTTCTGTTACACTCCAAAGAGTATGTATGCCCTCTTCTCACAGTATGGGCCCTGGCATAATCAGCATAGTCCTAGGAAAGCTTAGGAAATTCCAGTACCCCATGGGCACAAATCATCGCTGCCATACTTCACCAAGTTCTTCCATTTTAAGAAATATAATTAAAGACTGACAAGAGCAGAGCTTGTCGTCACTAGGGGCTTCAAGGAATTCTGAAAACCCTCTTTATTCTCTAAGGACTTGAGCCTCTTTTGAGGGGTTAGACGACTGAGAACTTTTGGCCTGTGTGTTATTGAAAGTAAGTTCAGGATAAGACCACCTCTTTTACATAGGGATAACATCCCTTATTTTGTAGATGAGGATTCTGAGCCCAGAGAGGATCAACCATTCCATACTCTAGACTCCAAACATGTTCAGGGTGGCATGAAAAATATTAAACCTCACTTCTCCACCTCCCCAAGTATCTGAGGGGAACCTGCTCTCAAACAGTGTGTGTCTAAGAGTAGACACCAGTTCCTCATTGTCTGGAAGACAAGCCTGAGTGTGAAAGGAGGGGCAGGCTGGGAAAGGGGAGACTTAGTTCCTCAGACAAAAGGAAGGGATTTGAGATTATGTACTTAAAGGTTATGTAGTGGCTACTGCGACTCTTATACCTTCTTCTAGTAATATAACCTATTCTTGTGTACATGGAGTTGGCATTTACCTCAGATGACACCATCTCTTCCTGACCCCATGTCTGTATTCATCCAGGAATAATCCTTTGTTAAAAATAAGCCAATGAGAACCCATTCTAGAATATTTTTATCAAAAAGTCATCATGACCAGATAGCTTGTGTCCTTCGTGCTCTCTGCAGCCATATCAGGAAAATACATCCCCATGGGAGAACATGATGGTGATAAGTATAAAATTTTCCCATTTATAAACATACAATGGGAGAAGTTGTCAGAAAAAGTGATTTTATGTAGTGTGGAAAGGGGAAGACCTCAATGGGGAGGCCAGCATGGAGGGAAGGAGCCATTTGAATATCTGGAGGAAGCTGTGTGTATGTGTGTGTAATGCATATATATGTATAACCTGTTTTGTTTTGGCATTGGGCCCGTTTTCTAACTTGAACTTGACCTCCTCTTGCCTGATATGACCTATCACTTTATATACAGTGTATACTTGGCAGGGAAAGTATGCTTGGCAGAGCCATAGACTCTGGGAGGGTTCAACTCAAGGGTAAACTATATGTCTTCAGCCACTACCCCTGTTTATTGCTTCCAATTGCAGACTGCAGGTTCCAATTGGTAGGTTGCCCCAAACCTACCCCTTTATCTGTGTTTTCTGGGGAAGGCTTATCCTGTTGAATCCCTGTTGTTTTCACACTATCTTACTCTGCCATCCCAACACCACTTATTAAATAGGCCCATTTCTCTCCACTTCTTTGAAAC